GACATGTTAGACTGGTACAGGACATGTTAGACTGGTACAGGACATGTCAGACTGGTACAGGACATGTCAGACTGGTACAGGACATGTCAGACTGGTACAGGACATGTTAGACTGGTACAGGACATGTTAGACTGGTACAGGACATGTTAGATTGGTACAAGACATGTTAGACTGGTACAGGACATGTTAGACTGGTATAGGACATGTTAGACTGGTACAGGACATGTTAGACTGGTACAGGACATGTATGAGGACAGCAAGACATAATAATTCAATTCAATTCAGTTTATTTCTATAGCACTAGTTCACAACAAAGTTGTCCCAGGGACTTTACAGGAATTCAAAAAGCATTCAATACAAAAAAAAGCTGATCTTTACAGGAACATTCACATAAAAGCCAGTTAGTAAAGTTCTCTATCTAAGAATCCAGCAGACAAGTTGAATCTTGGCTTCGTTGCAGTCTCTCATCCTGAGCAAGCACAGTGGAGACAGTGGAAAGAAAAACTCCCTTTAACAGGAAGAAACCTCCAGCAGAACCAGCTCAGGACAAGAGACCATCTGTTTTGAGCGGCTGGTTGAGAGGACAGGAAGGAGAGACAGACGAACACAGAATGGTAGGTCCAGGTATAGGTCCAGGTCCAGGTATAGGTCCAGGTCCAGGTATAGGTATAGGTCCAGGTATAGGTCCAGGTCCAGGTATAGGTATAGGTCCAGGTCCAGGTATAGGTATAGGTCCAGGTTTTGGTATAGGTATAGGTCCAGGTCCAGGTATAGGTATAGGTCCAGGTCCAGGTATAGGTATAGGTCCAGGTATAGGTCCAGGTCCAGGTATAGGTATAGGTCCAGGTCCAGGTATAGGTCCAGGTCCAGGTATAGGTACAGGTCCAGGTGTATCAAAAAGACAGAAACATGTTAATGATAGACAAAATAATTACAAATACATAACAGGTTGAGCAGATTAAGTAAAGACAGCAGCAGAGAGAGGACATGTGGTCAGTTTGTCCTCCAGCAGTCTAAGCCTATAGCAGCAGAACTAAGGGACAGCTCAGGAAACCCAAGCCGACCCTAACTATAGGATTTATCAAAAAGGAAAGTCTTAATCCCAGTTTTAAAACTGGACCATGTGTCAGCCTCACGGACAGAAACTGGAAGTTGGTTCCACAAGAGAGGAGCCTGAGAACTGAAAGATCTTCCTCCCATTTTATTTTTGTAAACTCTAGGAACCACAAGTAAACCTGCAGTTTGAGAACGAAGTGCTCGGTTGAGATATTAAATGAGAACTCTAAAAATATAATAATCAGGTGTGTCTATAGATCACCAGGTTCAAATATAGATCTATTTACTGATCAAATCATGCAGCTCTTTAAAAGAGTTGTAACACAATATTTTTTTGTGTGGGGACTTTAATATTGATTTGGTAAATCAAACGACTCCAGTAATATTTGTACATTTATTAATTCAATGCATAGTTTGAGTCTTTATCCATTAATACTTAAACAACAAGAATTACACATAGTGCTGCAGTGATTGATAATGTTTTTATAATGTGAAAGATGTCGAGGTGATGAGAGGATATTGATGACTGATATAAGTGATCATTTGACAGTTTATACAATTTGTAAAAATTACCAACGCAGTAAAAAAAAGTAGCAACAGTGAAGAGGAAAATGATAATTGCATTAAAAAAACAAGTTTTGGATAAATTGAAAGATGATTTGAAAAAACACAAGTGGAAGGATGTTGATGATGTAAACAGAGTGTTTGATGTGTTTATGAATATGTTGGGAACTCTGTATGAAAAGAATTGTTTGCAAAAAAACTGTGTTAAGAGAAATGTTGACAATTGTTATGATTTGGTTGAATATAGTATTTTACAAGTCATGTATAAAGCTCATAAAAATATTACCCCAAATATTCAATTAAAATTAGTTAAAAAAGTGCATCATTATAACCTGAAGGGAATGTAAATGTTTGTAAAACCTCCAGTTAGAACTGGTGTGAAGGAGCTGCATTGTTGTAGTTCAGGGAACAGGAAGTGGATTGATTGAATTATGGAATCACCATAAATATTATAAAACAATTGATATGTTTAAGAAGATGATTAAGTTAAAATTGTTAGGAAAGGATGATACCATGTGAAGGATGCCTGATGTTTTTTGTTTTCGCTTTGGGGATTGTTCAAGTCGGAGTTGCTGTACACAGTGTCCCAGTTACATCCAACAATAAAATGTCTAAGAAAAACAGTAATAACATCTAAGATATGAACTAAGAAAAACATCAACTAAATATACACTAAGCACTCATAACATAAAACATTGAACATCAGCACAAACATGAACATGAGTCTGTGTGAGGAGATGAGCACGCATGAACACATCAACACTGAAACAGATCAGCAGCAACGTGAAACTGATCAGCAACAACATGAAACAGATCAGCAACAACATGAAACAGATCA